ACTTGCTCTGCCAGGTAAAGGCTGTGTACTCGCTGCATGGACACGGTCCTGCAGGAGAAGCTGTAGAAGCCCTCCATGACTAGGTCGGGACTGCTGAGATTAATTAACTTCATTCATTTTTCCTCTGCTTTCAGATCTGTATCTTCAAGCACGAAATATATTGCCCTCATTCTCGGCCAACAAGCAACCGTAGACTCTTACCTATTCCTCTTGACTATACCCTGCTCTAGCTGTATCCCTAATTTCCAACTTAATTTCCAACTTACTCTGCTATACAAGACTGTCGTAGTCATAAATGAGAATCTCAAACGGACCTTCACTTAGGCTCCATGCATCTCTTATTTTTCTGCTCAAATCTGTATTCAGATTTTCCCTTCAGCAGTGGGAAAGTTGCTACTGATGCTCTGAGGTACTAGAATGATGTGCTCCTCTTGCATCAGGAATGTGTCCTCTCATTGCCAGCCTGGAAAAAGCTCGTGAAAACTGGGGGGGAAATGGATGGGCTCAATTCTTTCTTTCCCTTCTCTAGCACATGGAACTCAGATGGCAGATGTGCTTGCACATGCTCAGATGTACCAAGATAGTTGTTCACCACCTTTATGCTCTCTAAATTTGGGCAACATGCAGGAGAATGAAAGGAATGCTTTAATCTTTGCTTCCTTTGGCTCTGGTGGCCCAAGAGAAGTAGATATTATATACATCGTGGTATTTCTCTGCCACCCTCTGAATCTTTCTTTATGCTGAAGGTTGGCAGCAGGACAGGCCATAGACTGAATCCATTGTCCTCAAGGGCTTTCCTCCTTTCAGGAAAGGGGCCAACCACTTCAAGTCCCTTTTACCCTGCCAAAATTGTCTAGACTGGTCTTACAAGAACTGCAAATCAGACCAGGTCCCTTGCTATTATCTCTCATCAACTAAATGCTTTTTTTTCTAAGTGAACAAGCCAGAAATTTCCATGAAGAGACCACCACATCCACAACAACTCCTTGGATGGGGCCTGGATGCATACTGCAGAGCTGTGCCGTCTCCTCAAGACATGCTTGAGGGCTCTGAGCGCTATCAAAGCACATGAACAGCAGCTCTTAGACTCACTCAACAAGTAAACTCTATGGCCATTTAGTTAGTGCCTCATTTTTTCAAACAGTTATTTGTCACTGTTCAATTAAAGAGGAGCACAGAAATGCACCCTGCTTGGTGGCTAGATGCTCCGTCACAGCAGGCTTGGCAGATACTGCAGCTCAGCATCCTCAAAGCCGATTAAAATCCAGCACCGGGAAGCCACTGTCCATGTGCTGTGTCAACTAGAAACGCAGACAAGAGCCTGTGCTTGTTAAAAAATGACGTTAAGCACAGAATGAATCCCCAAAAGGCTACAACAGGAGTGTCTGGGCTTAAGCAGAAAGCAAAGTGCTCTAAATAATTCCTGTTCCTCCCTGATTCTCCCAGAAGGGAGCATCCGTCACACGCTACCATGTCAGCAGGACAAACTCGACTGAACAAACTTCTGCTCACCATCAGTGGGCTGTATGTGCAGTTTGTAGCTTTAAACATAGGGGTGGGCAGAGAGCTATACAATGATCTTCAGGAAAGTCATAGATAACATGCATATAAATGCAGTGATTCTTACAGATTTTCAGTTCACTTCTTAAATTGATTAGTGTTGTTGTTAAAATGTATTTTCACTGTTATAAAGCAACCACAGAATCCTGAAGGTCCCGATAGCACAACAGCTGCTCCTGGTATCCACGGTGAAATAGCTCGTACCTCTTGCTCGTACCTCTATGTAAAGAGAACTGAATTATATTAATTGCATACATCCCACCTCAGCTCAGCTCCTTTGCTTCAGCGTCTCTGTTCCACCCGCCTTCTGCCTGCACTGTACCTCTGGCACTGGACATTTCTCTCCGGTAGCTCCTGTTGCCAGTGAAACTCTTCAAAACTCTGCTTGCCTGAGCTGGTCAAGGCAGAGACATCTCCAGCTCTACAATCTCACTATATGCCAACCAGTGGAGATACTTTCCTGTTGTTATAACGCTGTATAATCTAATTACTCCTAGCAGCACAATTTGTCTTTAAGGAAAATCCCTAGTCTGCCACATTCTACTATCAGGCTCCTTTGCCCTTCAAAAGTTTCATTATTAAGCACATCCTTTGCATTCCTTTCTACAACCACCTGGCAAATACAGAAATGGAGCTAAACCATTCTGCGTCTCGTGAGAAACTCTTGTTTTTATAAAATTGCATTAAAAATATTGTCAACATTACAAACTTTAACAATTCCACAGAAAATTCAGCAAGCCTAAAGCTGCTATCAACTAAATATTCCCAAAATACTGCTTGGATTCTGTCTCAAGTGAAGCAGCAATGTACAGGTCAGGTAAAGAAAGAGGAAGAGATGCTTGTGCTCTGATTTTAGCATTCTTAATACAAAAGCAATTTACTGATCAGATGAAAGCAATGGTGTTAATCAAATCAGAAGCAAATACCAACACACTGACCCGCTACATAGCCCACTGGCAGTGACTGCTATGCATTAGAAGATTAAAACAAAGATTACGAGCCGTCACTGTTTACAACAGCACCATGCTGGGTTGCAGGCTGCTCTCTAGCTCGGACCCTCGCTTCGACCTGGAAACCCTCCCGCCCTGTTTCTGCGATGAGCTTTGCACAGCCGTGAGCGGTGTTTTCTGCCACTCCCAAAGGATGCTCGTCCCCACTTTCAATGTTAAATAAAAACCATAGCAAAACCCAGTAAAAATTACAATGCTAAATCAAATAAACTATCTAAACACAAACAGTTCACAAGGCAATCTGCTAGTAGCTAGTACCAGTAGGTGTCAAAAAAAAATTAAGAAGTTTAATTATCACCCTTGTTTCAGGGGGAATTACTGCAATAATGGACAAGTGTGTCCGGATGGCTCACTAGGTTCTAAATCACCCATGGTTTAAATGTGGCTTCAGAGAGACAAAAGGAAAATATTTTGATTAGCCTGACAGAGAGTGTTGTCAAGGAAATTAAAGTAACTCTAGATAATTATATAAATAGATAATTACAAGTAAATTAAAATGAAATGGAAAAAAAAGAAGCTAAAAATCCTAATGTAATTAATTTCATTATATATTCTTTTACTTCAGCAAATTCTTTTTTAAATTTAATAATTCCTCTCACGTACTGGGAATAACAGAACTGCTTTGTGCCCAGTGACGCAAACGGTTGCATAAACATGTATTAAAAGTCACCGATTTTCATTTCAAATTAGTTAGATTCAGGCAGAGACAAATTCTGAGTGAAGGAGAGCCTGCACCCTCCAGGTATCAAAGCCCTTCCCTGGATGTGTCCCAGTCAACTCCACAACTACCATGGAAGTTATACAAGCAAAAAACCCCATCCACTCAGCAGAAATAACATGCTCAAATTGTGTATTTATTTTGCAGCTTAGAAAGCTCATCCCAGTAGGAGATCTGCGGAATAACAAAATACTTTCTGCACTCACATTTTCAAAAATACATGTCTTCAAGAATCTGTCCTAATCCCCGATCTCTTTCTCCCTGCACAAACTGTTATTTCAGGCATTGAATAACCAAACATATACTTTTTAAATCAATCAGTTGTGGTATTATTTAAAGAAAAGCAAGCTCAATGGGAGAGTGTAAAACAAGACCAAAACAATATCAGATGGATTCTCATGAGTAAGCAGCAAAGCCTCTTCATTCGATCGCAGCAGGTCCAGGTTGGGAGTGGGAGCTGGGGGCACGTGCCCAAGAGCTGGGGTGGTGGGAGCCCTGCGACCCCAACCAGGCACGGCACGGCACACCACGGCACCAGGCACGGCACAGCACGGCACGGCACGGCATGGCACGGCACGGCACAGCCTCCTCTGCCAGCGCACGCCTCAGCCAGACCAAGGCTGCCAGCCCAACTGGTAAGATATGACTCGGAGGTGGACGTGGTGGCCAAGGAGGTGTTCATAGCAAGGAGCGTTATTTTCAAACCATGTATTTTTCCTTGAGAAAGCCCAGCAATGCCAAACCCCAAGCTGTCAGTGTTAATCTCTGGCACACTTGTAGTGTTTGACATGGACAGTCACTAGACAGGATCGCGAATCAGTGTGATGGCACGACAGTTTTCTGCCTTTAGAACATAAAATTGTGAGATTTTGTATGGGCTTTGCTGTAGGAAACTGCAAGGGCAAACAAAGATCACTTTGCCCTGCAAAGGGGAGTAAGCAGAGGTGTTGCCATTTAACGAGAGTTTAAGCAACGCACAGATTGGTTCCTTCACTTTAATTGACTATTAAAACTCAAGCTTTGCAGCTATAACCTTCAAAGCAGACCGATGATATTTTTGTTTTAAAATTGTTAAAGGGAAAATTAATGGGGATGGCTATGTTAATTTAACAATTCCTCTGCAAGTGGGTTGGTCCCACGCTTCCTCAACAGTGCCGATTCCCATTGAAAGTTCACAGTGAATCCAGGAAGACACAAGTGTGATCGGCTTTGATGCGGTCAAGAAAGATGTCTTGGTTCTCAAAGATCACCACGTGTTTCTGTAGGAAAGCTACAGCTATCCCTATATTTATCTGTTTACATGGAAGATCTAATAAAAGATATATAGATACATACAGAGAGATAAAAAGTTTAATTTCACTGCAAGTTTCTTTCATGTAATCTTTCTAGCATATCTTGAGCCACAGCCTCTGCAAACCCTCTGAGGAACAGCTCTTTAATCTCTGCATTTCACACTGCAAATGTGCAAATTAGTTTCCAGGATCTGCAAGCGGCAGAGGACTACTTCTGCAAGATGGCAGCAAACCTTCCAGAAGGAGAAGACACAACTCTGACTCACAGAAGATGAAAAGAGGGAGGAAAAAAATAAATAAGATAAGATAAGATAAGATAAGATAAGATAAGATAAGATAAGATAAAATAAAGGCTTGGCAGTCCTCACAGAGGTCATCACTCAAAAGGCACATCCTGCACAAATGAATTTCTGTCCTCACCTGCCTAATCCCTAAGCGATAGGCAAGGATGCGGTCCACAGCGTCGGGGTTCATCTGGGTCCACTGGAGACTGTAGGAGTAGACGCGGGGTCTGTTCTGCCACAGGGGGTTGTAGGTGTCGTAGTAGAACTCGGGAGCGTAGGCTTTGCCTGCAGGAGACAAGAACAAAAATGAGGAAAACAAAGAAACCAGACAACGATCAGGCAGCCAGTTTTGGAAGCCAAGTGTTGATGCCCAGGCTGCAACTGTGCTCTCCCCCTGTGTTTTGAGTCATTTTGTTAAATATCTTCTTCCAAAACCACATTTTGGAATTATTTGCCTCCATCCACTTTTTTAAAGGATTCATGGCAATGGTTGGCCTTTATCATTAACTCACTCCTCAGCGCAATCCGTGGCCCAGGTGTGGGCAGGGGTGGAATTATCTGAGCTCCTAGCAAAGGCAAACTGGAGCGATGTAACATGCCCCTGCACCAATTTTTCATGGCCCAGCTGACTAAAATAGAAATATCAAAACAAGCTGCACTACACTGAGCAGAGAAATACTCAGTGGCAGCTGCTGTACCTGGCACAAATAATACAAAATGACATCCGTGAGCTGGAAATACAAGATGGATATTTCCAGTGACTGCTGCCCTCATCACACCTTCTCCTCTCCAACTTCCCAAGTGAAAATGCATATAAGCCGTCCTTTGTAACACCACAGATGTGCACGCTATTACAGCACATTATTTAGCTGAACATACCGATTTGCGCAACAGAGGGAAATGACATCTCACAGTGCATGTTGGGTACGAGTGTTTCACCAGAATGTTATTATATGAAAAACCTAAGGATGATTTCCCAAACACATGACAAAACATTGCTTGAATTCACTAAATTTGAGTTCCCTTTGCCTTAAACCCATGAATACTAGTGACACCTTTACATGTAAACTACCTTTCCAGCCTCTAGAGTATCCCATAAAGAGTAATTTGTCTATTATAGCAAAAATGACACAGAGTGACCAATCTGTTTGGCCTAACTACGGGCATGTAATGACATATGAGATGCAGTAGAGTAGCTGAGCCATCTAGACCAGGTGGAAGATATGACACAAGAGCTGTAAGAGACCCAGGACCTGCTAGAGCCATAGCTGGAGCTGCATGCACCATCCTAGAGCATCTCATGTACCACCAGGCACCTCTGTGCAGGCAAATAAGTTGAGTCCATAAAGGCTATGAGCAGATGTGGTAGAGACAGGGGTGTTTGCTCTGTCTCTTAGAGCTTCCCCAAAAACCTCCCCAAAAAACTTCGCTCCACTGGAATACACAATTCCAACATACCCCAAAAAATCTCGGTGGATTTGTCCTAAAGGAAAGTCAAACGTTAGAGCACACACCAGTACGTGCCAAAGTGACATAGATCAGTTTTTTATTTTTAAGTCATTTTGCATTGATCTTTCTTTAGCATGCCATACCAACAACGCAGCATTGCTTCCGCTTCTTAAAGCGAAAAGGGTTGGACTGACTTGAAACAAGTTTTAACAGCTGGATTTGTAGGAAGTGCTGCTAACCACCAGTTTTTGCTGTGACAGATACAACAGGAACAAAACCCCAAGTCAAAGACTGACCAAAAAAAAAAAAAAAAAAGAGTATAGCCCTGCAGAGGAGGACTTGGGGGGACCGGTGGATGAAAAGCTGGACATGAGCCGGCAATGTGCGCTCGCAGCCCAGAAGGCCAATCATCTCCTGGGCTGCATCCAAAGCAGCGTGGCCAGCAGGTCGAGGGAGGGGATTCTGCCCCTCTGCTCTGCTCTGGTGAGACCCCACCTGGAGCACTGCGTCCAGCTCTGGAGCCCTCAGCATAAGAAAGACATGGACCTGTTGGAGCGGGTCCAGAAAAGGGCCACAAAAATGATCAGGAGGATGGAACACCTCTCCTGTGAAGAAAGGCTGAGAGAGTTGGGGTTGTTCAGCCTGGAGAAGAGAAGGCTTCGGGGAGACCTTATTGCAGCCTGTCAGTACTTAAAGGGGGCTTATAAAAAGATGGCAGCAGACTTTTTAGCAGGGCCTGTAGTGATAGGACAAGGGGGAATGGCTTTAAACTAAAAGAAGGTAGATTTAGACTAGATATAAGGAAGAAATTGTTTACGCTGAGGGTGGCGAAGCCCTGGCCCAGGTTTCCCAGAGAGGTGGTGGACGCCCCATCCCTGGAAACATTCAAGGTCAGGTTGGACGGGGCTCTGAGCAACCTGATCTAGTTGAAGATGTTGAAGCCTCCTCACTGCAGGGGGGTTGGACTAGATGACCTTTAGAGGTCCCTTCCAACCCAAACTATTCTATGATCTTTCACGGAACAGGTCCATCCTTGCCCTGCCTGGCTCTGCCTCCTTTCTCTGGAGTTTCTATGCTTTGAGCTTAATGCTATTAGAAACAGGATGGGGGCAAAGAGAAACCAGGCTCTGTTGTGTTAAATGCTACATTTTGTCATCTGAATTATGCAAAAAGGAGACAAAACATGGGAAAACAAAACATTTGCATACATCATCCTCCTGTGAAGGTCTAAAAGAGGCTTGTCATTAGAGAAAACCAGAAGCAGAATGAAGTCTTTCCACCTCCCAAAGCTTGTACTTCTGTTCTCCTATTTCTCCAGGGATTTTGTCAGTGGGAGTAATTATGAAATGCAAAGAAAAACACAGGATAGCCTCATGGGAAGATGTGGTCTGCCGGCTCATGTCAAACTATGAGAGGAGTATGCATTCATTACTCACCTCCTTTAATTCAGATATTAGGAGCTTGTGCCAAAATCCACACTGTATTTAGGTATTTTCTTCTCAAAACTATTCTTATTTACAGGTGTAAATAGAGATGGATGGGGAGGCATTTTGACCTAGAAGTCTGAGAATTTCAATCATCAGAAAAGTAGCGAGAAGAGGAGAAAAGAGCATAAAAATAATTAAAACAAAAAAAAAAGAGACAAAGGAAAAATCATGTGAATATATACCAATCTTGTGGCTATTGATTAAGCTTTTCTTTGGGTGTGTCATCCCCTCCAGCCATGCTTTTCTTTTCAAAGGATGAAAAGCCCTTTTAGCCAAGATATTTTTGCCAAGTGCCCAATGCACATTCAATTAGACCAGACTAGAGCAGATATGCTAGTGCTGAAGTAGCAAACAACAATACTCCGAGGAAAAGGAGCAAAGCAAAACTGCTGTTTTAAAAAATGAAATGTAAGATAAATGAAAAGAGGATCAGTGGTCGATAAGATTTGTTTTCCTTATTTATGTGCAGTGGAAATAATAGAGAAAAGCTCATGCTGAATGCAAATGATAATCTTCCTCCTTCTACTGCAGGTGGACATAATGGCATCTCTGGGGGTCTACAGAAAGGATCCATAATTAGACGCTTGTCACAATATGGGCACTTGAACAACACAGTCACCTTTAGAGAAATAATGAGGACTTACAAAGAGTTGCATTATTCTAAATCCCTCTGAACAGAAGAGCTTTCTGGTGTGAATAGAGATGCTGGAAATTTAACACCACAACTTAAGCCCTTAACTTGTGAACTTCAGAAGTACAAGGAAGCGGGGCAGTGTTTTAGAGTACACAAAAAGCAGACGTCACCTTTGGAGGTGCAGGAGCTATGAGAGGTGTAGGCAGTCTGCCTGGGCTTGGCAGATGTCCCCTGTCACCGCGACCATTTGCTCTAACTCCAGACAAACACCCCAAGCCTGCCACCACCCAACTGTGCCGCTTCCACAGGTGATGCTGTCCAGCAAAGATTATCCTCCACTAAAGAAATAAAGAGATGATGAAGAGTGTAAGAGACCTAGCAACAACCCTTGACTTAGCATGACTTCAAGTGGGGAGGCAGCAGCTTACCTGGAGGAAACCACCTGCAGTACAGGTTAGCTCAGCAGCCAGTTTCAAGCCCTGGCCATGCTTGGAAGAGGTTATCACATATTCCCCACCTGCAGAGATGTCTTAAGCATGCAGCGCATGGGGCTGCTGTCCTTCATACCCCAACTGGGCATCCCTTACAGCTGCCAGGGCTACCTCGACCTGCCTTTCTTCCTAAAGCCATGTCAGCCTCATCTTTCAAAAGCAAAACCCCTTGTTTTGTTCCAAGTACAGAAAACGTTTCCCTGGCTCACATCATTTGCGCTTTATAAGCACAGGCAGCAAAAATGTCCTTCCTCTGACTCCTTTCAGCTTTTGCAGCATTCAAGGATTTGTTAAAACATTTAATTTATATTAATATTAAAGATATTAATATATCTTAATATCTTTATCAACGATCTGGACGAGGGGATCGAGTGCACCCTCAGTCAGTTTGCAGACGACACCAAGTTGGGCGGCAGTGTTGATCTGCTCGAGGGTAGGAAGGCTCTGCAGAGGGACCTGGACAGGCTGGATCGATGGGCCGAGGCCAACTGTATGAGGTTCAACAAGGCCAAGTGCCGGGTCCTGCACTT